ATTGAGGTGGCGATGACGGGTGATGTCATAATAATTGCTGTCTTACGTAGACTTTATATGTAAAATATAATTTAAGAAAATGACGTGAGCATCTTTTTAAAATTTTTAAGTACTCAGTATTCATAAAAATGTTGGAAAATATTCTCCGTAATCTAATTTTAGGAATATTGACTTTAACTTTACTAAAGTTATTGCTTTTATTTTCTGATAATTTTGTATATGGTGGACCATACTTTCAAAAATGGGCACGTTACATATGCATAAAAAAATTTAAAAAATTATTTAAAAAATCTTGGTGCAAAATAAGTTTTATTAAGCTTTTCAATTTTTGATTAGAAATTATAGTTTTCACTTAATAAGAATATCACCTAACCGGATAAATGTAATGCAGAATTTTAAAAGGTTTATATATTATAAATTATTATAATTAAAATTTATAAAAATAAAAACAATTCTTATAAAAATTCATTATTCATCGAAAAAATTTCTAAATAAAAAAGTTTTCTTAATAAAACTTATTTATAAGAATAATTAATGCTTCTGCAATTAAATAATGCCATAGTTTTATTGCATTTTTTTTATTTTACGATTCAGGATAGATTTTCGGGAAATGAGTAGTAGTTTAAAAAAATCAAATTGATGATTTACATTCTCCAAGGAGTCCTACTTTTAACTAATAAAAAATTCAGCTAAAAATTTAGTTTCTCGAAATTTCATGAAAGTAAGTGGGGCAAAGGGTGTGTAACATAGGTAAAAATATTTTTACCAAGATTTTCTAAAAAAAAAAAAAACCCAAAAAAACAATCAAAATAATTTCATTCTTTTGTGAATAAGTCCTGAAAGTTTCATTAAAATACGAGAATTATTTGATTTTTGCAAGAATTTCCAAATCAATGTGTTTTTCACCGGAAAAAAAGTCACTAAAACACTTATAGTAAAAATTGCGTCGACCGCTGACGCAAATAAAAAAAACGATATTTAACCAAAACCGCTAGAAAAGACTTAAAAAAAATTAAATAAAATAAAAAATACTTTGGTCTTTCCCCTTAAAAATATAAACATTTTGACGAGAAAAGTTTGTTTTTATTAAGTTTGTTTTTTTTTTTCATCATGCTATGCTGTTTTTTTTTTTTCAGCGAAAAAGTAGAGCTACATATTTTGAATTCAGACAGGAATCCAGACACACTTCGTATCAGAAAAAACCTGGTGGGAAACCGGTTTAGTCGCCGATCAAGCGACCATTCGGCAGGTAGTACTGAGTTAGATGGTATCAACAGCAGTCGCAGAGTGAATTGATACACACACACACACACACACACACACACACACACACACACACACACACACACACATATATATATATATATATATATATATACACACTGCAATTCAAAATTTTAAAGGCAACATAGAAAGATTTTTTCTTAGTTAAAATTTATCTTACACATTTATAAATCTACCACTCATCCCTGCATTGAATACCGTTGCTATATCTGGTCTGGTGCTCCTGCCGTACACCTCGCTATTCTTGACAAAATCCAAAGAAGGATCTGTAATGTAATCAATCCTGACCGGGCATCTTGACTTCAGTCACTATCTCACCGACATGACGTAACTTCCCTTTGTCTTTTCAAGGCAACTGTTCTGATGAGCTTTTTTTTTCCCCTGGTGCCCCGACTGCATGAATTTTAAGTGTTCTACTAGACTTGAACAGGTTAACACTAGGATGGCCAGCTCCCTTGACATCTTTATTTCCATTACGCCATGAGGCAGCCATCTTTAATATATTCAATATTCAAGTCAGGAATAACAAGTCTGAAAAGAAATTCACAAATATTAGTATACCTCATACTGAAAGAATGTGATTATATATATATATATATATATATATATATACGTATATAATTGGTATATATGGAATGAATTCCAATAACCAACAATTACTATTCTTAAAAGAGTGTTCAATACAAAGTAGAGCAGATATAATTATTATTTATAAAAAATTATAAGTATGTTATAAAATCACTACAAAAAATAGCCATTTTGTTTCAACACACTCGATTTGTCTTATCAAGTGATGATGTTGAAGATAAAATAAATGGTTTATTTATTTTATCTTCAACATCATCACTTGATAAGACACCAATTTGAAACAAAATAAATGATTTTATAACATACTTATGTTATAATTTTTATAAATAATAATTATATATATATATATATATATATATATATATATATATATATATAAATTGTGTGGATAGATAGATAGATAGATAGATAGATAGATAGATAGATAGATAGATAGATAGAATGGGGACATAAACACAAGTATTATTGCTTGTGAGAAATTTGTCAATGCATTTATCCTATAAATAGCCTAGGTGTCAAAAACGACACCACAGCCATTCAAGGTAAAACCTCAAAGATCAGCTATTCCACTGAATATTTTTTTAAAGAATTAAGTCTGTGAAGCATCTTTTCTAAAATTCAATAATTGTCCATAAGCTTCAGCATCGAACCAAAACTAGTTGTTCCATAGTAATTTGTTGAAAATTTGATGGTGTCGAAAACGACACCTCGGCCATTTTAGTGTTAAAACTGTAGTGATCGGGGGAACATCCTGTTGAGAGTCTATCCCGCAGGGCAGTGATTCGCGGAAAGAGGCTGTTTGAATGGAACTAACTTCTCACCAATGGCATATGAAAGGAATGTAGATGGTTTGCTACTATGTAAGTGGCATGGCGGGTCCTAGCCGTGAAGATTAGACCTGGCGGGACCATGAAATGTTGTTCATCTGAGCACTTTCCATGTTCGTAGCGATAGAACAGTGAGAGACTCGCCTCATATCACCTCTGTGCGTGTGATTGCGTGTGTGTGTGTGAGAGAGAGAGAGAGATTGTAGGGTGGAAAATAATTCTCCTCTAACAAGGACTCGGAGACTCCCCTTGAACTCTATGAAGGTTGGAAAGTGAGATATGTGCAGCCCGCACCCAGACATGGCAACAATACTCCATTTTCGACCTGATCTGATAAAGGTAGGTGATAGTATGAGGAGTCAGGTACTTACTGGAGCGGTACAGGGAGACGATAATTTTACTTGTATCTTTAGCGATGGTTCGTATCTAAGAGGTCCACTTGAGGTCTGGTGTGAGTTAAGGCACGGGCCCTCCTCGAAGGAACATCCGTTCATCGTGACTTTGAAGTCATACCGCAAATCAATGGGATTTCTCATCTCGAAACCTCCTAGCTTTTTTTTCTAACTCACGAAAATACTGCAGGTCTTCTAAGCTCTTCAGAATCTTTACAGGAATGATGGAATGCTATTGCCACTTGTTCAATGTCCATGCTATAGTTGTTCTTCCAATGTCTGTGGCGATAACTCTTCCATTTGGCATTAAGGATAAAACAATTTCCATAATATTTCATGTCTAACTCTGTATATTAACATCAAGGCCTTCTCTGATTTCGGGTTCTCGTAGGTAACATACATCAATGTTTTGTGTACCGATAATATTTCTTAACAGATCTAAACATAAAGCGGTTTCTAATGGCTACGGTGAAGTCTCTATTGATGTGGTCATATGTTGCTGTGAGCTTGACATATCAGGCATACAATTTTCTATTGGAGAGTTATGCAACTTCCTGGAGTTATTTGGTGACATACGCGTGGAAGTTTCACTTTTCAGAATATGTCTATCACCAAGAGAGCTGTTTTGACTTGCACACTGAAAATCAATCGTAATACGTCACCTTCAGCAGTTTTGTAAAAATATCTTATGAGCCCTCGCCCGATTTCACGATCTTCGTTATCTCACGAAAGTACAGCATGTCTTCCAAGATCTTCAAGGAAATGATGGAATTCTGTTGATAGTTCATATATTATCTTTTTTTCAGTGCTTCTAATATCGTTGTTTCTCCATGACAGTGACGTTGCATCTTCTTGGCCTGACTTTTTCGGCTGATATGTAGTGGGAAGACTATACTGAATCCATTGCTAGGTCTGCTGCTAAGAAAGTCGGTTCACTGTGTCGGACAAGACAGTTTTTCTCTTCAGAATCTATCTTGAACATTTATGAACCTACCATTCGATCATGCTTTGAATATTGCTGGCGCATGTTCTTCCGATATATATTTAGAGATTCTTGATAAAATCCCAAGACGGATCAGCAATATTATTGGTCCTGTTTCGGCGTCAATCACTTTACCACCACCGTAAAGTTGCTTCCCTCTGCCTTTTCTATAAATACTTTCATGGTACTTTTTCGGATGAACTTTTCGCTATGATAAAAAAAAGATCAACAATACATTTTATAGTAGAAATACCAACAATATAATTTATAGCAAAATGACCAACAATTCATTTTATCTGTAGTTGAAGGCATATAATTGCGTTCAAAATATTTAGATTTCGGTATTAAATAACCCATAGAGGTGTTCATATGTCGCCAAACAAAATCAGCAGCCTTCAATCTGTCCTACGAGTATCAGATTTTCCAAACCCTCTTTCCTCATGTACTCTAGAAATTTAATCTGTCTCTTCCTGATGTTAAGTAAGTTTCATTTGTATTTCCATTTTCTCTAAAACTTTGTCGTTGCTCATATAATCTGTCATGGTATCCTCAGCACCCTTCTGTTGAACTACATTTCTATTGCTTGAAGTCATTTATTCATCATTGAGGAGATTGTCCAACACTCACTGCCATACAAGAGGACATATATTACGTATCAGTTTTCTTTGGTTTTTGGTTTTCTTATTGAATTTTGCTGATTAACCTTAATTCTTATCTCTTAAGTTAAGCTCATAGCAAATTCTACAACAATAAAATATCTGTAGAAATTCCCCTGTCACATCATTAAATATTTGAGTTTAAAAACTTTAACAAAATATTGCAATAACAATCATAAATATGAATGCTTGTCGTTATTTTAAGAAGTGGGTAGTGCCATTTTCCCTCTTTCCATGCGATCAAAACATATTATTTATGAGTTATCGGTAGGAGATGTTAAACACTTCTTTCTTTCTTTCTTTCTTTCTTTCTTTCTTTCTTTCTTTCTTTCTTTCTTTCTTTCCAAATCTCCGTATTACGAACACTTATTTTAATAATAATTTAAAAATAATTCAACAGCCGATCTTATTTTATTTAATTTATTGTAATTGGATTTTTGATGATGGACTTATGCCGCTGAAAAATGGCGTTTTTATCGCATCGCCAGAGTTCTCGGATTTTTGCTGAGATCAAAGTGTAGTATCTGTCCGTATCTGATTCTCTCTCTCTCCACTTTTATTGTAACTTCTTTTTTTCTTCTCCCTTTTATTTTTTTCACTGAAAGCAAGTAATGTCTTTTCTTCTCTTTCCACACGATCAAAACACAGAACAGTCCATTATTTATGAGGTATTGACTGGAAGTCACAGTCGTGCTAACTAACGAAAGGAAGGACAAGAACAATTATAATATGATTCTGGGAAAGTAAGTCGAGGTCTAGTGGACTGAGCTGATACTTGGACGAGAGGAATGGCCGTTCTTGCAAATGGTTAATACAACATAGAAGAGACCAGCGAAGTTGACAATCGAGTTGATATAAATGAAGAGAATTATTTTTTATTGAAGAATTTGTTTGTTTACAGAAAGGAAGCTTTACGCAAAAATGAAGATTTCTTTAAGAAATTGCAAAGTTTATAATTGCCCACTTTGTAAAAATGACTTCAAAGATAGCAAAATTAATAAAAAAAAAAAAAAATAAAGGCCTGGTCTCTCTGTTCACTTATCTCATAGAACACATTTGGTCCAAGATCAGTGGGTAGGAATAAAGGGGTTCAGAATTAATTTCAACTCTGAATTAATTTCACCTCGGAACTAAGGGTTAGGGTTCAGTTATGTGCCATGCGTGATACACGCGTAGGCGATCATGTATCTCTTGATACATGACTGACGAGGCAGATTTTTTCCCGCACTAGGTTGCCATTTCTTTCTGCGCTCGACCAGTTGTCATCCAAGGCTATAGAACCCGGTCTGTCTTGCTATTTACCCATAGACCTTTCCCAAGAGAATTAGCACGTAAGTGAATGTAATTAATGGATTCGACTAGAATTCGAACTCGGCTATACCATTACTCAAACCGAGCTATCCATTACTCCACCGAGTGTTTTTCAATCGAGTTGAAATTAGTTCCGAGCTGAAATTAGTTCTGTCACTCGGAATAAAAACTTCTGCGTGCAATGCTTAACATGAAACATAAAAAAAAAACTATCAATGGTTAAAAGATGATCGATGAAGGTTATAGAATCTCAAGAAACTTGATATATGAGATATTGCGTTATTCAAATATATTATCTATTAATGCCTCCAAAACCAAACTGCTCTCTTTTAATCATGTGAGAGAACCTTATTTGATTGCCATCATCATGGCTGATGCTAACCTCCACGAAAGTGCCTCAGTGTACCTTCTTGTGTTAAAGTTTTTCGGCTGACATGAAGTGGAAAGATTATACTGAATTAATTGCTATGTCTGCTGCTAGGCATGTTGGTTCACTCTGTGGTATTAGACAATTGTTCACGCCAGATTACAGATTCAGAAGTCTATCATTTGTCTATACATTGAATATTGCTGCCACATCTGGTCTGTGGCATCTGCTATTTATTTAGAGATTCTTGATAAAAGTCCAAAGAAGAATCTGTATAGTTATTGATCCTGAGCTGGCATCTCGGCTTCAATCACTTCCCCACCGACGTAACGTATTTTTCTCCCGTTCTTTTTCTATAAATATTTTCATGGTAATTGTTCTAATGAGTTTTCCTCTTTGGTTACCTCGAATTTACGAATTTAAGCACAATACTCGATTGATAGATAGGTCTCATCATTTTACTGTCGAAATTGCTATATTTAATCAGAAGTTAAACTTTTCACATTGATCGTCAAAAATTTAAATGCAATTTCAATCGTTATCTACTTTCCTCTATCGCTCTTTCCGCTTATGGAACTCTCTTTTGGCTTCCTGATTTCCAGTCTACATTGATCTTCAAAATGTTAAGTGCAATGTCAATCGTTATCTTCTTAATTGACTTGTTATTTTTTTTTTATCTCTATAGTGACCTTTTTGTGTCCATTTTCTCTAAAACTTTGTCGTTGCTCACATGTACCATGGTATTATCAGCATGATTCTGTAGAACCAAGTTTTTTCTGACCCTTCTTTATCTGTGAATATAGTCCAGGATTCACTGCCACATAGGAATATTCATATTACGTAACGGTTCAATAATCTTTTCGTTGTTTCTAAGGAAATATTTCTGTTTCTTAATACTTTACTTAGATTTTCGAAGGCAACTTTCGCTATCATAATTACTATGATTTTAATGGTTTTAATATGATATCATGACACTGAATATTACAATTACTGTTACTATAATACTACTTTATCATAGATTCTAAGATATTCAAAGTAACTAATTTCTTGTGCTCTTTGCAGGAATCGTCGGCGGTCAGCATTACTCGCATTCAGGAGGAGGTAGCAACGTTCTATGTCTTCCTATGGATCCTAGCTGGAACAAGTTTACAGAGGCAAAAGAAGATTCCCAATATATATACGGTGGGGAATATGAGATTTCTCACTATACTGCCGTTTCCAAGACTGGCCTATTCTCCGACGCTAATAGCAAGACCCTTCACGACCACAATATCCCGTGCGCTGTGTGTCAGACACTGAAACCAGCAGCAGTCATGATGCTACCAGCGCGTAAGACCTGCTATCCGGGATGGACACTCGAATATACAGGTTATCTGATGTCGTCGCATTATGGACACAAGGGGAGAAATCCGTTTACCTGCATAGACGCTGCTCCTGAAGCAGATCCAGCAGGATACAGAAATGAAGACGGTGTATTGTTCTATCCAGTACAAGCCGCCTGTGGTTCGCTTCCTTGCCCGCCCTATGTGCAGGGCAAAGAGTTGACATGCGCAGTATGCAGTCAAAGTCATCGCACCCATGTGCATAAATTTGGCTTTGATAATGAAACTAAAGAACTAGTAGGTCTAGATTAATCTGTAATGTTTCATTTCCAAATAATTTTATCGTTGATGCTCTAAATAATTTTTGAAAAGAAAAAAAAAATACTTTGTTAAATATTAGTAATAGGAGGATGTTGAGGATATACATAATTCATTATAATTATTTCCTTTTCGCCTTTTAAATTCGGCCTATATTTTAATTTTTTCTATCCTAATATATTGTTCAGTTCAACCGTCACTATTACTTATGTCCACACTACAATATATATATATATATATATATATATATATATATATATATATATATATATATATTAAGACATTTTTATGTTTAACATTCTTTTTATAGATACAAATATTTAAGGAAATGCCCTGTTTATAATAAAGAGCATTAAATAACATTTACCGGCCTGAATGTACGAGAAATTTTCATAGAAAATATTTGTCCTCCGACAGGATTCTATGAAAATTTCTCGTACATTCAGGCCGGTAAATGATATTGAGCGCATTTACCCATAATTAAATGTTTTTTTTTATATATATATATATATATATATATATATATATATATATATATATATATATATATATATATATATATATATATATATATATATATATATGTATATGTATATATATATATATATATATATATGCACGCACACACACACACACATATATATATATATACACACCCATAATTAAATGTTTTAATTATACATCTATATATATATATATATATATATATATATATATATATATATATATATATATATATATATATATATATATATATATATATATATATATATATATATATATATATATATATATTGTATATATATATATGCACGCACTCACACACACATATATGTATATACACACACACAAACACACACACATATATGAATAAAGACAAACAGAAAGATTCTCTTAGCCAGTGCGTTTCGTTCACTCATGGCCTTTATCAAGGCAAATGGGAAAATTTTATTTTGTAACGAATATTTATAAAGAATAGTAAAAATATTCTTAGTTTTTCAAATATTTTAAATTTAAAAGACGCTCATAAATAATCATCAGGTTAACTGAAAAGTGTAGGCAGATTATGGAGGACGTTAATTTACGTAATTCAATGTCTAATAAACGAATGTGAATAAATGATCTTGTTCAATTGTTTTTTACTTTTTTTATGCAATTAATATTAAAAGTATTTTTGTGTGGGATAAATTAATGTATCATCTATTATTATAAATAACAGGTGGTTATGAATTTAACCGTTTTTTAAAATTTTTTATAGTAATGTATCTTGGATTCGGATAGGAATGAAGACATGTGAAAAAATCCGGCACGTAAATTTATATTTTGATAGTATTCAATAGCAGCATTTTCGACAATTTTTCCGACTAAGTTACTTTCTGATTTAATATGTGTGGCATTCTTTTGATCATTCTTTCAATGTACTGCTGACTTCTACAATAAATATTTTGCCAAGTGGAAAACAGAAAAGAAAAATTAAGATAAAACTGATGTAAATAAACAAAAAACTATGTAATTGTCGAAACCCTCAAATTGCCCACTACAAAATAAATGTTGCACTGAATCATTAGTATACCAATGCAATATCTCTTCGATTGAAAATCCTGATAACATAAAAATATATATAGGTTTAGCCATGAATTCAAAAAAGATTCAACCAACATCAAACTTCATTTAGAATAAATAAATATAAAAATCAAACATCTCTCTCAAAATATTTCTGGCATCTAAAAGAATCAAATAAAACACCTACAGTAAAATGGAAGTTAATAAGAAGAGCTAGAATTTGTAGATCATTAAACGACCCGTGTCCTCTATGTATACAAGAGAAACTATATATTACTAAGTTTATAAAAAATAAAAATTTACTGAATCAGAGAAATGAAATAGCTATTATATGCCGTCATTGTCAAAAATTTTCCTTAAATAATATATAAAAAAAAAAAAAAAAAAAAAAAAGTCTATTGGAATGGCAGGAAAAATGTTTTAAACTGTTATTTAAAATTTAAAATTGTGGTTAAAACGTATTAAAACATAAACACCGTTTAAAAAATTGTAGTTAAATAAAATGTATCCTAACCGAAACACTTCTATAATAAATGTACTACAAACACTTGAATGAATCCGATAAAACACCTCCTGAAAAATGAAATCTAAAAAAGCTAGATGATGTAAGGTAATGTATGACCCATTGTTCTTTGTACATACATATGAAACTTTATTACTCAGGTTACATATATTTAAAATAAATAATTTAATTAATTAATACATAAAGTTTACTAAATCTGAGAAATGATGATAGTTATGTAGTCTGTGCCATTTATATTACTTAAATATTTAAATATAATAGTTTAAAAATTGTAACATATACTTTGTTATGGAAAATAATTATACTTACTATGAGTAATTATCCTTCTGTTATAAAGTAATATAGTCAATTAAAACTAACAATGAAAATATTTTAAAATTTTAAAATTTTAAAATTGTAATTAAAATTGTAGTTGTTAAATAAAATAATTCTAACCTGTTCTTGGTACATACATATGAAACTTTACTACTTTTACATATATTTAAAATAAATAAATAAATTAAGTAATAAATAAAGTTTACTAAATCCGAGAAATGACTTGGCTAATTTTGTAGTAAGTTCCATTAATATTACTAAAATAATATTTTAAAATATAAAGGTTTAAAAATTGTAATTTACATATACTTGGATATTGAAAATAATTTTACTTACTATGAGTAATATTCCTTCTGTTATAAAAGTAATATAGTCTAATATAACTAACAATGAAAATATTTCAAAAGTTTAAAGTTTGTAATTTTAAAATTGAAACTAAAATTAAAGTTAAATTGAATGAATTCTAACCTAAATTTCTTTTTTTAAATAATACTACACACTAAAAAGAATCCCAAAAAAAGCAAATATAGTAAAATAAAATTAATATGAAATGCCATAAGATGTAAGCTTTTGAATGACCCATGTCCTTTTTTACATGAGAAACATTATATCACTAGGTTTTATATATATAAAAAAAAAAAAAAAAAAAAAAAAAAAATGTAACCTCATATACATACTTAAACTTGAATTAATACATAAAGTTTACTAATTCTGAGAAATGACTTAGATAGTTTTGTAGTCTGGGCCATTAATATTACTTAAATAATATCTAAATTAAAAGTTTAAAATTGTAATTTACATATACTTTGATATGAAAAAATTTTTTTGTATGAGTAATTATCCTTCTGTTATAAAATAATATAGTCTAAATTAAAACTAACAATGAAAATATTTTAAAATTTTAAAGTTATAATTTTAAAATTTTAAAATTGAAATTAAAATTGTAGTAAAATAAAATGAATTCTAACATGTTATTTATACATACATATGAAACTTTATTAATTAGGTTACATATATTTGAAATAAATAAATTAATTAATTAATAAATAAATAAAGTTTACTAAATCTGAGAAATGACTTAGCTAGTTTTTAGTAAGTGCCATGATTAAATAATATTTAAATTTAAAAAAAAAAAAAAAAAAAAAAAAATATACTTTGATATGGAAAAATAATCTTACTTAAATTTGTAATTTTCCTTCTGTTTTTAATATAGTCTATTAAAACTAAACAATGAAAATATTTTAAAATTTTTAAAGTTGTAATTTTGAATTTGTAATTAAAATTGTAGTTAAATTGAATGAATTCTAACCTAAATTTCTTTTAAATAATACTACACGCATTAAAAAGAATCCAAAAATAAACCTATAGTAAAATAAAATTAATATGAAATACCATAACGCTTTTTGACCCATGTCCTCAGTACTTACATGTGAAATATTATAATAATAGGTTATATATAAAAAAGAAAAGTTTACTGAATCAGTGAAATTAAGTAACCATTTCTGCTGTCATAGTCATATACAAAAAACAAAAAAAAAAAATGTAACCTCATATACATACTTAAACTTAATGTTAAAATAAAATAAATAATCTAATACATTTAACTGTTCTAAAAAAGAATATAGTAAAAAAAAAATTAAAAAGGAAAATATTTCAAATCGTAGTTAAATAAAAAGTATTATAAAAAAAAAAATCTTTAATTTTAAAAGATGACGTTGAAAATTTTTTACAATTAACAATTTTTTTTTTTTTAAATTCAGACGACATCCATTCAACCGACGTCAGGTTTCAGTGTAAAATAATCCTCACCCCTTACCAAAATGTAGCTAATATTAAATCAATGATTAAGGAAAATCTAGACACCCCGTGTTCAATTTGAGTAGAATATTCTTTAACCATGGAAACGTGATTTTAGCTGTGTATTTAAAACCCGGTAAATTTTAAAAGTTTCCAAAATTCTTGAAGATGAAATGGAACTAATGCTTTTAATTTATTTAAAAAATAAAATTAGGGGTTTTAGCTTCTATTTTTGAAACATGGTTGGAACTGTATAGAAAATAACCATATTTTAAATCAATTAATTTATATATATATATATATATATATATATATATATATATATATATATATATATATATATATTAAAAATGGACAAAGTCCGACAATTTATTTATTAAAGACATTTTTATGTTTAACGTTCTTTTTTATAGATACAACTATTTACCAATCGGCCACAAAGGAGCGTTCAGTATAAGCAGTAAATTCGACCTTGCCTACCGAACGCTCCTTTGTGGCCGATTGGTAAGCCACGTCAGCGTAAATGACGGTTCCGTATAGAATTCAGGTTCGAATCCTGTCAAAGGACGAATATTTTCTATGAAAATTTCTCGGACATTCAGGCCGGTAAATGTTATTTAATACTGTTTATTATAAACAGAGCATTTACTTAAATACTTGTATCTATAAAAAAGAACGTTAAACATAAAAATGTCTTTAATATATATATATATATATATATATATATACAGCATGTATCAAAATAAAATACTTTTACAAACATTGAGGGCGGCTTCCTCACACAAAAAAAGATAAAATGTCCATATAAATATATGTCCAAAAGGCCATCGTTGTATCTTACTGCACCAACTCATAGCAAAAATTCAAAATGTCTCCGCTTGCTTCTACACATGCATGGACCCGTCGTATCATTGACCCTTTCAAATACTCCAACACAGTGTTAAATAGTTTCGCTGGCTCCCATGACACGTTTATGAAGCGTCTGTACATTATTGATATCTGATGCATAAACCAATTGTTTTAGGTGACCCCACAGATAAAATCCCCATGGATTGAAGTCAGAGGAACATGCAGTCCATGGAACTAGTCTTCACCAACTTATTCATCTTTCATGGTAGAAGTCAGCCAGTGCATCGCAAACAATGTGAGTAAAATGCGCTGGATCCCCATGATGCGTCTTCGTATTAGCACGGGTACATCCTCTAGCAGGTCTGGAAGAGTGTTCGAAATAAAGTCCCTGTAGACAGCTTTTGTAAGACGTATTAGGAGAACATATGGACCGATCAGACAGTCACCTATAATTCCAGTCCACACATTATTCGTAAACTGATGTCTAGCCTGTATTTTACCTTGGGGATTCAGATCCTTCTATCAATATTGGTTCAGTAAATTTGTTATTCCATCTTTCTTTTCGAATCTGAATAGTACTTATTTTATTTTTATTTTATCATGTCAAGATAAAAGGTGAAATTAAGGTAAATTTTTATTTTGAATTTAATCATCTATACATTAAATCATTTTTCTAATGTTCGCTGACTAAATCAATTCTACCACGCCAATTTACTGCTCGTGAGGAGGTTAGTTAGCAAACCTATAGGATGAAAAATAATAGGAGTCAACAAACAACTAATTAGAGATGTGTCTCAAGAAAATCACAGTGGAGAAGGAAACGGGAGAACGAAATGGCAAAATCAGAAATAAATCACGAAAATTTCCAGAGGGATATCATAGATAATTAGGAGGAAAATAGAAAAACTGAGAATTAAAGCTAAATTAAACATATAAAATGAAGTTGAACCACGAATGTATTCGGTCAAAATTCATTAACTTTAGGATTTTATATAGGTGGTCTTATTTTTTTGATTATGGAAAATATTTACTTGGATTTCCGAACTGAAATCTGATCGGAGGAATACATTCTAAATACTACGATGATAAACCATAAGATTTTTCCCCATTAAAAGTTGGAGATATGAACCTGCGTTCCCCTAAGGGGAAACTGTCATTAGATCTAATGTGTTTTGACTTCTCAGCTACAGAGTGCAACGATGAAATAAAGATGAATAGTGCCTTAAAGCATGTATTTTTTCTGACTTTCGAAATAGACATATTTGCTCACTTTTGTATTCTAACCTAAACAAAGTAATTTGTTAGGATTTTTTTAATCCCACAGGTTTTTTTTTATTAATTACAAGTTATTTTTAGTGGATAGTCGTATTTGAGTAGACGATTCATTTATGTATTAAACAATATATTTATTTATTTTCATTTACCGGCCTGTATATTTATTTATTTTCGTCTACTGGTATTATTCATCTTTGCTTGATTATCAATGCTCTCTGTAACCGAGAGGTTAAAACACGTCAGATCTAGTGACGGTTTCCCCTAGGGGTACGCAGGTTCAAATCCTACCGGGAGCTCATTTTTTTTTCTAAAACAATTTTTCAAGTATTCAGGCATCTTGCAACTTAGTGTCATTATCACCTTGCTTGGGGTGAATTGATTAAAACTTATGCATCGATAGCACAAAACATGGAAGAAGAAATGGACTGTTTTATTGCACACTGGACAACGCAAAGGCTCAGTATTGCAAGGAAATTACGACCGTTGTGGAAGATCGGAATGCTAATATATAGAAGAGGAAAGATAGTGGAATGGTTGGCAATTTCGTATTAGGAACGCGTAATTAAAGTGAAGAAAAGAGGTCAAATGCTGCCAGTTAGTATACATCACATTGTTTCAAAAACAACCATGACGCTTGCGAAGATGGGCAAGCCTAGAGTAGAAACGAAAAACCAGATCAACTATATAACGATCAATAAAAGATTCAGTAAAATATCTACTATAATCTTAGAATGAAACTAAAAGAATGAAGAAAAAAAAGCCAAAACAACACCCAAATTGCAATACGAAAGACTCTTGAATAACCGGAATTGCAAAAAAGACGTACATGGACATCGTTAAAAGCAAATAGAATGAACTAAATGGGAGAAGAATTTCAAAGTTGAATACAATAAGAGAAGCTTTAGTAACATCAGCAAACGAGATCATCTTAAGTAAAACTACACTAGGACAAAAAGAGTGGATGACAGATGAAATCCTCTAGAGTATGAAAAGGAAACAGCAAACAGTGCCGAGGTATGGTACAGGTATGTGGAAAATAAAGGAATAAAAAGTGGCTAGAACGAATTAAAGAAAGAAAGAGAGAAAAAAAGAAAGAAAGAAAGACGGATGATAGAAAAAGAAAGAAAGAAACAAACAAAATTAATAAGAAATGTTGATAAAGGTACATATGTGCCAAATAAAGGAATAAGAATTGGGAAGAAAGAAAGAAAGAAAAAAGGAAAGAATGAAAAAAAGAAAAAGAAAAGTAATAATACAATGGGAAGAAAGAAAGAAAGAAAAGAAAAAAAGAAAAAAAAAAAAAAGGAAAAAATAAAAAGAAAGTAAAAATAATGGGAAAATGTGATAAAGAAAGAAAAATAATAAAATGTGATAAGAAAGAAAAAAGAAAGAAAAATAATAAGAAATGTTGAAAGACAAAGGAATAAGGAAATGGAAGAAAAGAAAAACATTTTTCTTTCATTCTTTCTTTCCTTTTCTTTCTTTTTTCCTCGCCAAATTTTATTTCTTTATTTGTAAGGTGTACATTTTTCAACATTTTTATTACTTTTCTTTCGTTGTTTCTTTTTTTGTTTGTTTGTTTCTTCCTTTTGTTTTTTTTATTTTTAACCCATTATCTTCTTTCTTTCTTTCTTTCTTTCTTTCTTTCTTTCTTTACCTTCACTTTTTTCCTTTGCTTATTTCTTACAAATCTTTCTTTTTATTCAATTTTTCTTTTTCTTTCATTTCTCAGTCGGTCAGTCATTCTGTCTTTTTGTTTATCTCATTTCATTCTCTTCTTCTGCTTTATTCTTCTTTTTCTTTTCATCTGTTGACTATTTTCCTTCTTCATTTTTATTCTTCTCATTCATATTCATTTCTTTACCAGCAGCCATACCCAGCTGGTCGATCAGAAAGAGCGTTCAATTAGAATGGAGCAAAAGCAGCATCATGTTTAAATGTAACATAGTCTATCTTCTTCAATTACTCTAAAATACTTTCATTAAAAACATTTTTAAATAATGCAGTTACTGATATAAAAGTAGTCTGTATTTATTCAATCAAAATTAGCCGAGGACATGAAGGGGTAAAACAGTCAACAATTCAGATCACAATTATTTTGGAGTTCTTAAAATTCAATTTGTAAATGTTCTACCAGGGATGTAAAAGAGGATACATTTATAAAGCAATTGTTAAGTTTGATGAAAACTGGTTGAAAGATCAATGAAAAATAAGAAAACCAATAAAAGTCGCCATTTTTCGCTATTTACGCGAGTTTTCCCTATAGGGATAGAATCAATTGTCAAGTTAATTGACTTAAACAATCAACTTATTGTTGGCTACAATTGAATTAAGTTTGTATTAAATTGCTTGAAAATTGTGGAAGTTTTTTCGATTTTTCGTTTTTCGCTAAACGTAGTGGCATAGAAATAAAAATGAAGTATTTATGAGCTCATCATGATGTAAGTAACCTACATACCGAATTTGAACGAAATCAGAGGAAAAAAGTTGAATTTATCGATTTTTGATCGGCTTTATTGATTATTGACTTCTTAAAAAAATATCGATTTTTTTACGCTAAGAACCTATCTCTCAGTGTATATGCCAAGTTTGGTCAAAATAGGTTGGATGGATCTCGAGTGAATAGGTATCACACAGACAGGCAGACGTACAGACACACAGACATCCTCTGTTTTATAGATATAGATGTTTATCTCATTTTATTCTTTCTCTTTTTCCTCATTCTTTCTTTTTTTTTCTTCCAGTTTTACCTCTTTTTACTGATTCTTTGGATCTTTAAACAAAGAAAAAATATTTATCTTGTAAATTTTTATTTATTTTGTCACTTCAATTCCACTTTTTTATTTGTCTATTTTCCACAAATTCTTTATTTTTATTCTTCAGGCTTTTAAATTTTTTCTTATATTTTCCTTCTCCTTTTATTTGTTTTTTGTCTCTTTTCTGCTTCTTTGTTTATGCTGTAATATAAGCAGAATGTGTGTTGAGATTGGAGGAAAACACTTAACCGATTGCTCTCCCAGTAACTACGAGGGTAACAGGCAGAGAGTTGCGGGGGAAAGAGACGGGAGTTAACATAAATAACACTCCCTCGGAAAACGCAATAACTTTAGGAACAAACCGCCCACAGCGCCGACTTCATAAGACACCGTGTCTTGCTAACTGCTGTTTTTCCCGTTGCTTTTATTAGCTTTTGGCATCTTACAGAGATCCGGATCTTGACCATTTGAAGAGAGGACCGTATCTAGATATGCCAAGCTGTCCCGCTGCTAACGAGGTAAACCCGGATGTAACTGGTGTTAAGAAACATGTCTAAACGCAACCCAGAGCCTCTTTTGCGCTCTACCGACGCGCGTGCGCTACAGTTTGCAATCTTCTTTCCTAGTCTCTCATTCAACTTTTTTTTTCCTTCTACGCGTTTGCAGCAGACATTTTTCTCCTGCCTAATCTTTTTACTTCATTTTTTTTCTGTATTTTTTCAATATCTTTACTGTCTGCTTTTTGTAATATTTTCTAATTATCATTTGCTCTCGTTTTTTTTTTTTTTTTAGTCTAATATGATTTGTCTTTCATTTTCCTTTCTTTTTGATTTTTTTCTTCTTTTTCTTTATCCTAATTTTTACATTTTTTCTTTTCTTTCCACGATCTAATCTCTTTATTTTCTTCGTCTATTATTTCCTTTTCGTTCTTTCTGCCTTTTTCCTTTTTTTTTAAAATTTCTCCTCTCTTTTCTTGCATTTATTCTTCTTTTTTTTTCTGTTTTCATTTTCTACCTTTTTCCTTTCCCTTTTTCTTTCCTTCTTTCTTTCAGTCTTTTTCTTTTCTCTCTCCATTTTTATTCTACATCTATTGCTGTTTCCTTGTAAGTATCCCATTTTTTGACCTTCATTCTTTGCTAGCATTTATCCTTCGCTTCTTCGTGTTTTTTTTCTTTTTCTCCTTTTATCTTCTATCTTTTCCACCTTTCTTTCTTTCTTTCTTTCTTTCTTTCTTTCTTTCTTTCTTTCTTTCTTTCTTTCTCGAAAATTTGTATTTGCCTCATCTATCTGAGGCTATTGTTTGACGTCATCGGGTCTAGCATCCAATCAAAACGCAAGCTGTAAAGGTAAAAAACTTGGTAGTCAGACTGTGTTGAAAAAACGGATAGATTTTTTTTCACGACCCACAAACCGAAAAACTTAATCTACATCATAGCAGCTGAGTTCGTATTTAGTTGCATTCATTCATTCTTTAATTCCTACTATATTTTCATCTTTTCTATTTCTTTTTTTTTCTTTTTTTTTTGCATAAAATTACCTATTTCCATGTTCGATGATCCCACCACACACACAACATTACCTTTCTCCCAAGGAACTCAGCTTTTGGGGTCGATGGTCAAGATTTATCCCTGCCGTTGGTGTTGAACATTGTCGCATGTTATGTGTGTACCCCAAATTTATTATTGATTGACAGATAAGATTAATACAAAAAAAAATAAATAATTCAATGTTTGAGCTAACAGCACTTTACCAGCACACAAGAAATGACACGTACAGCACAAGCCGTTTCGTTAGAAACAACGATAAATTGTATTCTTAACGCACAAGAAATGAATTACGCAAGTTTAGTGGATTAAGTGCTAAATGATGGCCAATAATGTTTAAATTACCAATGAAAAGGAAGCATGCTTTTTACAATTAAATTTATAATACTGCACAAAAAATGGAGCATTGTAATTTTAATTGTAAAAACAAGAAAATGCATAAAGTGAAAAAAATAAAGAAAAAGTTTTGGTTTATTTTGTTTTACGGCATATCAACCTCAATGGGTTATTTAAAGCCGACAAGATTTTTATTGCTTGTAATAGTTTTTTTCAAAGATCTATTGCTGGTAAATTTTTTTCCAAAAATGTATTGCTGGTCATTTTTTTCCCAAAATACATTGCTGGTATTAAAACCTATTTTAGCCTTTCAAAGCGTTTTCACCTCAGTTTGGGCATTAACTATTTGCCCATAGCTAGAAGCCTAACAGGTGCTACCACTCTTGGTCAGGGTGGACCTGGGAATACCAGCAAATAAAAGGTGAGTCCGCACTTCTCAAAACCTCCTGATCAGAGGCCTTACTGCTGGGTGTAGTTTATCGTCATACCCAGGACGCGGATGTAGTTTATCGTCATATGCAGGACGCCTCGTTGGACGGTGGTGTTACTCATCTGCAGAGGTGCAGTTAGCGTATTCTGAATCGCCAGCCGACAGGTCATGTGAAGAAAAAGAGGAATACTTCTCTGAATAGTTCACAAAGAGAAAATTGACTCACTTTTTTGTATGACGAATCAGAGCAATTGCCATGAAAATATTTGTAGAAAGGACAGCGGTATCCGTGAACCACCCGTTTTTATTGACGATCCGAGATATGAACACCTGTGGGCGAGCCTACGCCTGAGAAAAACCATCGAAGAACAAGATATGTAAATAAATAGTGTAAATAATGATAAACAGAATTTTCTGTTGGTTACACAGATTGATATACACCTGAAGAAGTCCGGAGTGCACAACGCTCGATACGTTGTGATAAAAACAAACACGTTACTTTTTCTTTTTTTTTTTATCAAATACAAGTTTCATCAGCATGCCTCCAAAGGAAAAAAAATGCTTTCATTTAACATCACAGAGAACCATTTCTGTCTGCCATCAGCATGGATGATGTTAAACTCTAGGAGATCAAGAATTTACGCCTTCTTGGGCTCAAGTTTAAATGTGAAGTGGAGTGGCTATATCGAATCAATTGCTTCGTCTACTGCAAGAAAACATTTTCTCTCAGGTGATTAATACAGAGAAGTTTCGTTTTGAAACCGTTAAAGTTAACAGGCCATTCCTTGTCTCAGTTAACAACGAATTGTAGGACATTTGTCACATTTTGACAAGCGGAGTTTTATTTTCCATCAAACTTTTATGGAGCGGTTGTAAATGCTGGATGCATAAATGTGCATACATTTTAAGTACTGTAAATGAATAATAGCCTGACAATCTCACCACATACATAACATTACTTTTTCTCTGATTTAAGCGTCCTACTAGATTGGCAACTAGGTCACATCGTTTACAGTTGAACTAGCTAAATGCAAACAATACTTTTACTCTAACAGTTTTCTCAAACTTCCCACCTGTCGAACTCCCTTCCGATTTCTTGCTTCCTCGATAACTACAATCTTCAAAAATTTAAATGCAACGCCAATCGTTATCTTCTGTCTTCTTGAATCCTGTTATAAATAGTCTTTCCCTCAATCCTCCTCTTTCTCAGTCTTTTTCACTTTCTATTTCAATTTTACTCCATGTAACTATTGTGGTGACCTCCCTCTAAAGGGTCTATGTTGGACTCTTCTGCCTACTATAAGATTAGTAGGAGAGAAGGCCTTGCGGGGAACAGTCGAATAGATTAAACGCTGGGTCAACCGACACACATACACCCTAGTCGTGTAATACTCTTCTGTTGTACTTACTGTTTAATATATGACATATCTGCAACACTTGTTTTGTTATTTCTTTAACCATTTACTTGGTCACAACGGTAACCCCTGCGTTCTAGCGGTATTACCAGGGTGAAATGATTTTTAAAAATGGCGGTAAAATGGGTTCAATTTATAAGCGTTTTGGTTTGCGCCCTTCCACTTCTTGTAATAGTTAGCAAGCTGGTTTCGCTACGACTGAGTAGTACGTTTGTTCCTCAGCGAGCGCTTCATAAACTTGATCTTGTGCCACATCTAAGTAGCAAGTGAAATTGAGTGCCAAATCAATTCTGGTATAATGCAGCAGTGACTTGGGCAATAGTGTGTACTTACACTCAGTGGAAACGAGTGAGAAATAACCGAGCAATACTAAATAAGAATAAGAGCTAGACATGTACAGTCGAACGAGAATAGTGCACCCTCGTAGATTAAATAAAGGATTCGCTGTTGGTTACCCAGATTGATATAGCCCTGAAGAAGTCCGGAAGGTACAACGGGTGAAACGTTTTGATAAAAAACAACAACAACAAAAAAAAAAAAAAAAAAAAAACAATGATGTGGACAATAGTCCGAATGTAAATAGTCTAAATAATAAAGGGTTCAGTTTTGGATTCCCTGAAGGTCACCCAGACCAATATACACCTAAAGGGTACAATGGTCGAAACGTTGTGAAAAAGACAACAAAATGTGGACAATTCGAATATAAGTTTAAATAATAAAGGGTTCAGTTTTGAATTCTCTGTAGATTTCCCAGATCGATATACACCTGAAGAAGGCCGAAGGGTAAACGGCCGAAACGTTGGGATAAAAAAACAACAAATATGTGGACAATAGTCCGAATATAAATAGTGTAAATAATAAAGGGTTCAGTTTTGGATTCTCTGTAGATTTCCCAGATTGATATGCACCTGAAGAAGTCCGAAGGGTACAACGGCCGAAACGTTGGGATAAAAAAACAACACATATGTGGACAATAGTCCGAATATAAGTAGTGTAAATAATAAAGGGTTCAGTTTTGGATTCCCTGTAGGTTACCCAGACCAATATACACCTGAAGAAGGCTGGAGGGTATAGCGGCCGAAACGTTGTGATAAAAAAACAACACATATGTGGACAATAGTCCGAATATAAATAGTGTAAATAATAAAGGGTTCGGTTGGGAATTCCCAAAATATTACACACATTGATATACACCTGATGAAAGCCGGAGGGCACAACGCGTGAAACGTTGTGATAATAGCTACAAAGATGTGGACAACAGCCTGCACATAATAAGTTATGGCTAGGTGTTTATGGGAGTGACGAGAGTTATTGTTTTTGTCTGAATTTCAGGGATAAGGAGTTATTATTGTTTACACAGTTGATATTCGGACTATTGTCGTCATCTTTGTTAAGAAAGAAAAATGACATCAAGTCTTCAACAACAGCAGCAGCAGCAGCAATCTAAACGAGACTGGAGCAGTAGTTGCAACCTAATCAGCAGCCAGGTAAGTTTTAAGGCTCTAAGTTAATTGCAACAAATTGTGCTTAATGGATAAAAGCGTTGGTTTATGAATTTGGTTACATAGTGGTTGTGAGTTCAATCCCTGAATCAGGCAATGTGTACTAGCATTCAGTGGAAACCAGCGAGCAATAACATGAATAAGAATAAGGAATAGACATGAGCAGTAGATCGAGAACAGTCCACCCCTCCCATAGATTAAATAAATGGGGTCAGTTCAGAATTCTTTGTAGGTTATCCAGACCGATATAAACCTGGTGAAGTCCGAAAGGTTGTGATAACAAAAACAACAGAAATGAGGACAATTCTCCGAATATAAATAGTGTAAATAAGGATAACTCTTTATCCCAGAAATTCAGACAGAAATTCCCGCTCTTTTGTTCCACTCAATTTCACTCCAGACCGTCAAAGGGAGCCAGATGTAGGCTTGAGATATCCGTGAATCACCCGTTTTCAGTGACGACCCGAGAGGCGAACACTTGTTGGCAAGCCCGCACTTGAGAAGAAAGAGATATATAAACAAGTGCTCCAAAGTGGAGGGGCAGTTTCTTATACATCGCCGAGAGAATGTAAGGTCCCACATATCGGAAAAGGGGCGCCGTCAGCTGAGCATATACACAGTGGAGTGTCATAAAATGTAATGTTAAATAGGTAGATTTGTCTCGTCTTATCACTGATGCTGATTTAGGTTGTTAAATAAATTCGTTCGTTTTTTATAGTTTATTTTAATACTTATTATTTAATAATAGTTCCGATGAAGGATTCAAGAATCTATTCCCATTTGTTGTTTACGAAAGAAATCACTAGATTTTGACTCGATAAATCCATCAATCCACGTTTTAAGCTCCAAGTGAATGGACGTGCCTCAAATTGTTAGAAAGTGACCGAAAAAGGTGTTAGCCTGAATGTTCAAAATCAGGTCAATATGTTTGATGTATCAGAACTTCTCAACCGAGCTCTTTAAATGAACGTTTGGTCATGTTAGCGATGTGGGACGAGCATTTACACGTTGAATGCATTGCCGGTCAGTTCTTTTCAGCTGATTTGCCTTTTTCACCTTGTTCATTTGTTC